TCTATGCTCATTAGGACACCAAGATATGGAAAACACTAGGAAATACTGCTTTATGAGCTGGGAGTTTAAAGACCTGGCCATATATGCTGAAATAGGTAAAGCTACTTGGAAAAAAGCTTCCTTATCTTCCCCTCTTGGGAGTCTTCTCCATAGGTCTCTCATCCCTAGGGACTGACCCCACAGAGTTACTGCTGGAAGTTAAGCAGCAAGCATCAAATACTTTCAGAAAGAAATTTACTGAGCCTCCTATGGGTAAGGCCATAAGAGCCAGAGCCTTTCCCTGACAATATTCATTTTAAGCAGCCCATTTTCCTTTCCTGATTTAAACTGAGTCTTACAGAATTAATGGGCAAGGAATGGGGGAATGTGCAAAGTAGAAAGGGATCAGCAGCCAAGTCCGTGTTAAATCACCAGCCAGCTGGCATGTTTCAAATGCTGCCCTATGAATACCAGATCTACCAAGAATAAATACTGAACACAAGTCATAGAAGCAATTTACTGTAGATCTCCAGATAAAATCTTAACCTCAAAGACCCTTGACAAGATATAATAATTATTTCCGATAACAATAACAAAATTAAAATCATAATTAGAGAGTTCAGATCCGTATCTTTTATATTTCAGAAGCTAGTCACCTTAGGGTATAATGCCAGAGTTCAAAAGTATGAAGACATCACACCCTGAATCTGTGGGGTCTACAAGGCAAGTAGTTTTGCACTGAGGAGGAGCCCCAGGCATCACTGTCTGGTGTATGGCAGACATGGCCTATGCTGGCTTTTCTGGTGCCTTAACAGCTTCTACTGCTACCACCTTTGTGACCACCCAAGGTCCCTGTGTTGTAAAGCATATGAAACTGAGTACAGTAGCCTCAAAGTGGCTCTTTCTAGATTCAACTTCCCATTTTTCTTTTCATATCCATACCCTCCAGGTGTGGGCTCAGTCCTCACGTCCAGCTGTGTTTTGGGTTCTCATGCCCACCTTCTCCCCGGATGCTGTGATTCTCATTCGTTTCACATCCCACTCAAAGCTCCTTACTTTGGCGCAGACCATGGCTCCTGCCCAACACTCACCAAGCATGAGAACCGGGAGTCAGATGCCTACCCTGGCAACAGCTATACATATGAACTATCTTTGATCTTCTCAGCAACCACGGATGACTTCATTAGTCAACCATTCAACTCTGACAATACATTCGTATGTGTCATTCTTTGTTTGCAGGTACAGAAAAGGATTCTCTTGATAATCCTTTACTAAATCATACCAATTAATAAACTTATGAAGAACTAAGCAGCTAAAATAAAATAGTAGAAACTAAATAGTTATACAGTGGTACATACTTTCCTTCAACAACTTTCGTAACTTATATTAAACTTAATGGGATTGTCCAGCACACTTTATTAAGATATGACAATCTTATAGTGGTTATGGGAAACAGGAAAATAAACAACAAAAAAAAGATACACTATATCAAAATCACACATTTGATTATCCTTCCTGAGAGTTCAATAACAATTACTTAAATTAAAATTAAGTGTTTGAAAATTATAGTATTGTACAGCTGCCACACTTTTCATTAACTCACAACTTGTATGCCTAGGATGTCCGTGAGCTAACTAACTCATAAATAACCCTGCTTAAAGTGTCAAAAAGGCAAATTTCCAAGTATGGGTATGGTAGGCTGCTTTCTTTTTCCTTCTTTTTAAATTGTGAAATGCAAAGCTATAAATGCAAAGCTATAAAACATTTTACATTAAAAAGATACTTCACCTAAGTTTTATATAACTGGCCTAGATTCCATCATATCAATTAAATCAATTGAATCTATGTAACTTCAGAGTATAGATCAGTTTACAAAACTGATATTTAAAGAACTAACAGAAATATTTAAACAGAAATATTTATTTATTTATTTGAGAGAGAGAGAGTGAGAGAGAGCATGAAAGGTGAGAAGGTCAGAGGGAGAAGCAGACTCCCCTTGGAGCTGGGAGCCTGATGTGGGACTCGATCCCAGGACTCAGGATCATGACCTGAGCCGAAGGCAGTTGTCAAACCAACTGAGCCACCCAGGTGCCCTAAACAGAAATATTTAAAGAACTAACAGAAAAAAATAACCTAAAGAATCCTCACAATATAAGGATTTTGATTTCTGTTGTAAATTTTTTATTAGGAACCAGCATTTTTTGAGAGTATTCTTTGAGGGACATGTGCTGAGCACCACACTGTTTAGAACAATGAACAAGAAATATCCCCCCCCCACCTTAGAGCATATACCTTGAGGAATATCTTTTTCTTTCTTTTTTTTCTTTTTATGATTTTATTTATTTATTTATTTGCACGAGCAGAGGAAGGGGCAGGCAGCGGGGAAGCAGACTTCCTGCAGAGCAGGGAGAGCGATGGAGGACTCGATCCTGGGACCCTGGGATCACGACCTGGGCCAAACGTAGATGCTTAACTGACTGAGCCACCCAGGTGCCCAAGGATTATCTTTAGTACAAGATTCAAAGACAGAATGTGCGAAGTGCCACAACTGAGGTAGAAGTGGTATAGGTACATTCAGGAAACTGACAGTCACTCTGATTCAAATGGGTCCTTGGGGGGAATGAAAAGGACAGAATAGGTGCAGATGGGCAAAGATCTGAGGAGCAGAATGAGAAGAGCAGAGAGAAAAGACATGTGGCTGCACCAAATGAAAACAAAGGAGACTCAAAGGAACAAAGTTAGGAAGGAGGGAATTTGATAGGTAGGCCACGGAAAACCACTGAAGCATTCTAATTGGAAGAATTACAGTGCAAATGGAAAAGAAGCAAGAGAGACAGCCACAAGGTCAACTGGGAATCTAGTTTTAGAACTGTGTCCTGTGTGAACTCTGACTTCTGCAGAGGTCAGGGCAGGGAGGGCTAGAGAAGACTCAGATTGCAAGAAGCAGGCTGAAAAGCCTTTGGGTTCTGAGTCAACTAAGAAATTCCACTTTGGTTTTCTCTGAGTGTGTGTGTGTGTGTGTGTGTGTGTGTGTGTGTGTTAAAAGCATCTTTTATTTTATTTTAATTTTATATTTTGTGTTGTTTTATATGTTGGGGTTATGAGTACGATTTAGTTTGAAATAAAAAAATTGGCTAATACTTTTTTAATGAAAGCCACCAATCAAGATCACATGTTTTACTTACAGATGGAACCTGAGACTCAGAAACTGACTTGGTAACCAAGAGGTCATGAGTGAATACTGATGAGGATAGTTTCACTAAGAGTACCTGTGGCCAAAGACACCAGTGTAGCAATGAGTTGAGAAGAAAAAGAGATGATAGATCAGCAGTGAGGAAAAAAAGAAGTAAAAGTACTTTGAACAGTAACAGGTAGAGAAAGAGTCAACGTGTAGAATACTCAGAAGCTGGTAAAACTTCATTAAAACAGTGAATTTGTTGCTTAAGATTTGTGTGTCCTCAGGAACAGAAAATTCCAATTCTGCTAACAGAAGAAGCCTAAACAAAGAAGGAAATTGTCAAAAATGCTGAAAGTAGGATGGCTCTAGGGTTGGTTAGTTCAGCTATTCAATGATATAAAAAAAAAAAATCCATCTTTCTCCTCTGTCATCTTTGGCATATCAGCCTTGACGTCAACCTAGTTCTATTCATGATTAGACAAAACGGCTACAGCAGCTCAGCTTCATGTCCTTGTGGAAGCATCCAGAGTTTGAAAGGGAATCCTTTCCCTTATTTGTCTCTTTCTACAAGAAATTTAAACAAACAAACAAACAAAAAAAAAAAACTTTTCCAAAAGCCCTGCAAAGACTTTTCTTCATATCTCACTGGTCAGAAGGCATCAGTTGGTAGTGTCTAAACCAATCAGTAACTTGGAAGGGGAGCCCTCTTGGTTGTCTGACAGATTGCAAGTCACTGCCTGGGCTGGGGGATACGGTCCATTTCCCTGAACCACACAGTACAGGAGGAGGGGGTGGGCAATGGCTGTTGCTTAGGCAGCCCACCCGCCTGCAAATGAAGCCTAATAAGCATTGTTTGATACTGCTGTTGATGATTTTGTCAATAGTGCCTCATCCCCAACCCATTTCCCTCCTAGGAGAAGTGTGCCTATACTTCCCAATATCCAATTTTATCATTTACGGGAAGAAAGAGAACTATCGATTGCCTAGGAAAAGTATGCACAACAAGAGTTTCTATTTTAAGGCATTCATTGAAAGAAGCTACTATGAGACAACATCTGCTTAAAATGCAGGATTTCCAAAGAGATCCTATCTTCAAACTCTGTTACCCGATTCCTCTTTTGTATATTAGCCAAAAGAGAAGAGTCATTAAGCTTTTTGTGTACAACTGACACTAAAAAGAATCTGCAGATAACGATAGAAGATGCTATTTGTCAAAGGTCTGGAGCAGAAATACAACTGAAAACTATGATACAATTGGAGAAAACACAAAAGTAATTACAAAGGAAGAAAACCACTCAGAGCATCAATTTTACCTTTATGATACCTTTGTTCACATCTCTGTCCTCTTTGTCCTAGGTTATACCATTAATAACTCTTAGCCTTCAACCAAAAAAGGGGGTGGGGAAATTTGCAATTACTGATTAATAGTAATAGTTACTGAAGTTAGTTACAAAGTTCTCACCAATCACAGAATGAGATGGTTTTATTTAGTTCTAAAACACAACGGAAGTTAATAGTAACACTACTTAAGGATAATTTTAAAAAATACATTTTGTTTTCCATTAAATCATATTACTCTAATTTACTTGAGAGGAAAAAACATCATGACATGAGAACTTCATTAATGATAATGGTAGTGGGCCCAGAAAGTCACCATTTTATAAATAAATATGTAACTCTTATAAAAGTTTGTGAAGTGGAGAAACAGTCAAAAGTGGGGGAGTGATTGTAAAGCACTGGTGAAGTATACAACGGGTCAGGTTCTAGAATGTCCATAGTCTTGAATAATGGGAAAAATTCCAACACATTAAGCGGTTGGTATCCTACCATAGTTGAGATCACGGATACTACTGAGCCTCCTTAGCAGTGGAATCATGAATTTACACCATGTGGTTATTCGCTTACTTTCAGCTAGGAAAGAAAGAAAAGCTTTGGGCATGAGGGTCTGAAAAAGAAAAAAGAGCTGAGACAAAGAGGAGTTTTTCAAAATTCCTCATAATTCAAAATGCATAGCCCTCAAATTAGGGATGAACTTTAGAAGGTTCAAGTACTGACGTTCATATATATTAATTTCTTTCTTAGTTCCACAACTGGACCAACAATTCCCACCAGAAATTATTTAACTGGTTTGAGCCAGATGGAACTATCCAGTGAAATTCAGTATTTCCCCCATCTATCTAATGAAAGCCAGAAGAGGCATCAAATGAATGACAGCAGGAAAATAAATTTGACCAAGCTGGTTTGGAAAAATGCATGAGTGTGTGTTTTATGGAGACTGTTCCAGAGAAGTGATCCAGGTCATTTTACAGAGCAGAGCTCCTCACCCCTGTATTTCCTCCAAAGGCCCAGAAGAGTATAAACTATATTATGTTAGCTAAACCTCATTCATCATTTACTAGAAGCATGTGTATGTACATAGATTATAGTGCACCAAATATAATATGTCAGAGATTAGACTTTGTTAGCGATTCAAATAGTGGTATGATCCAGTTCTGCCCTTTCAGTTCATGTCAATTTAGAGACCTTTACCTTCTCAGGTTCAATCTCACCTAATCTTGTTAGAGAGCTTTAGAGCAAAGACTACAAATTTCATCAACCAGTGTGCTGGTCAGCTGGTAAGTTACATTAGACACTTCAGGTCCTTTTCAAAGAAGCAGCTCAGGGTATATTCTCTCAGCAAGTCTGTTTAAGTAGATTTTTCTTAAAAATCTAACCACCTATTAAAACAGTTAACCAGCTAGACCTGAATCAAGAAAGTACAAAAACAATAAAATCATATTGTTTTCTTTCTTATGGCATAAATTACTAGTTATTTTAGGAGAAATAGGTGAAATGGCTCTTTTAAAGATTGTTTTCTTCATAATGAAAAGCAAGAGGCAAAGGAAATGGGAGAGATTTGTGGAAAACAAGGGAGAAGGTGATAAGATAGAATTGAGCCATTATTTATACAGCTAAAATAAAGTATCGTGAAAGATGAGAAAATAAAGTGTAATTCTGTCCTTAGCTTTAATAAGAATATTCTATATCCACCGATTAATAATAAAGTATATTTTTAGCCCAAACAATGTTTAAAGTGCATACAACAAAGAAATGTAGGATGCAAATGTGGCCCTGAGGAGTTTATAGTCATGGAGTGTAATCATCTTAAAAGTTAACTATAAAAGATATAAATGGAAATTCAAGACAACAATGGAAATGGTGTCACAAGGCTGTGTGTGATTAATCACTAAACGTAATAGTAAATGCAATACAGTTTAGAGGGGACAGCAATCACTTAGGACTGGAAAATTATAGGGAATCTCTATTGGGACAGTGGGATTTGAATCCCAATCTCGTTCTCCAGTCCCTCCTCACCCTAAACCCTCCCTCTAGTCAACTAATTGTCTCACTGACTAATCACACTGAATTTTCCTTCATTCTAAATCCTTCGAGTTCCTTCCCTCCTTACTCCGGCTTACCACCCAACAGTTCTTTCTCTCCTATCTCAGAAGATACATCCTCCCTTCCTGAAACTCACAGCCCTACCTGATTCACTTCTTCTCCCTCATCTAAATCATCGTGTCATTTCACCTTTTTTTTTTTAAGATTTTATTTATTTATTTATTTGACAAACAGAGATCACAAGTAGGCAGAAGAGGCAGGCAGAGAGAGAGGAAGGGAAGCAGGCTCTTTGCTGAGCATAGAGCCCGAAGCAGGGCTCGATCCCAAGACCCTGGGATCATGACCTGAGCCGAAGGCAGAGGCTTTAACCCACTGAGCCACCCAGGTGCCCCAATTCACCTTCTTTCTTGTCTTTCTTCAAATTATCTTCTTCAACTGTCCCTTTTTAACTAGTTCTATTCTTTGGCCTATAAACATGACAGTGTCACCCTTATTCCATGAAAAGTCCCTTAGACCTACATCCTTACTCTCCCCTGGCTGTCAGCATTCTGGAAGTTTCACTGTCAAGCATGTAGATTTCCACTCAACCCCCAGTTTTAATATGGCACCCTTGCTCTCAGTTACTCCAGACATTACTCAAGGTTCTATCATATTTCTCCCTTATTCTCATAAAATAGTCTTCTCGTGTCACTATCAACTTCCAAGGCTACAGCTATTATTTCTATTTTGACTGCCAAAGTTATATCCTCAGCATTGACCCCCTACTCTAAGCTTCAGGCTTGCATTTTTGACTGAATATTGTGTATAACTACACAGATGATTTTCAGGCTTCTATTTCTAAATCATTGTTGTCAAACTTTTTTGCACTTTGGAATCACCTGTGGAGGTTACAAAAATACCTGTACCCAAGTTATATGCCCAGATATTCTTATTAATTGGATACCAAGATCATTATACTCAGCTTGAGTATAGAGCAAAGTATAACTGCTCCTTATTAAAATGTGCCAACTTCCATAAATGCTCACATGATCCTCCTAATTGCTCATGTTCAATTCCTTTGAGTCACCTTTAACTCTTCCCTCAGCAGCCCCCCATTCTCCAGATACCAAATCCTAATATTTCTTCTTCTATAACATCACTTCTATTTTTTCTTTATATTATCACAGCCACTGCTTTACTTTAGCTGCCTCTAGTTATTGTACTAGATTCCTAATTCGGTCCTTCCTCTCTCATCCTACTTTTGCCATCTGTTTTCTATGGCTAAATCCAATCATTAAAAACACTCATGGCACACTAGTAAAATACAAAGTCTGCAGCTGATATTCAAAGTTCTCCATTATATATATATAGCTCAAAACTTATCAGGCTTTATTGCCCACTACATCCTCATTCCTTCCCATAAACACAATAGACACCCTATGCTTGAAAGAGCCAGACTATTCACCATTCACCACTCTCTAGATGTTCCTCAGATATTCCCTTTTCCATACTTTTGACCATGTTAATTCCTCTGCCCGGAATGCTCTCCCTCTAATATCTTCCTACTAACAATTTATCAGAATATTAGAGGGCTTCACAAAATCCATTTTCTCTTAGGGGTGGGGGGGGGGGCGCCTTCCCAGACCCCATCAGATTGAACTAATGTCCCCTCCCCCAAACTCCCTGTCTCTATGTGCCTTATTATAGGACTTATCACACAGCCTGCCTTAATTTAGAATGACATATGTGCAAGTCTGTCTCCATCAATGGGCAGGGAGCAAGGAGAGGTACAGTGACTTGTCCAGAGTTATGACATCACACTATAGTTACATATTCAATATTTATTGATTTGAGGATGGATAAGAACAGCATAGATATAGAGAATAGAACAATCCCTGGACAAAAAGAAGAAAAGAAAAGGGAAAACAAATTTGGGAGATGGTGAGTTAAGCAGAAGATTTATGAAACGAAACAGTAGCATGAATCTCCACTGAGTAGGTGGAGTCAAATGGCCTTTACCCGGTCATGTTAGGTTTTTAAAAAGAATGAATAAGCCTGAGTATCTTATATATGTTTGGAGCCTAAGTTCTCCCATTAGTAAAGGGAAATGATTATAGGAGTTAAAATTGCTAGTACTATTGGGAAGTAAGAATGAGGCCATCCCGGTAAAAGTTTTGACACAAACCTAGAGCATAGAAAGCCCACTCTAAGTGCTAACCCCATTAACAGGGTCTGCTACACACACACACACACACACACACACACACACACACACACACACAATGGCTATACAGTAACATTCAAGATGTCAAAAGAAAGATTTATCTGACTTTGATTTCCAGGCTAGAAAAAGGACAGAATGAGAGAGAGACAGAGACAGACGAGCATAAATGTCCAAGCAACAGACGTGTGCAGTTGGCTTCTACTATATTTCACGGGACACATACTTCCTTATCTTTCTCCTTCTTTTCCTTTTCTTTTCTCCCCCACCCCCCATCTCTTCTCTTTTGTCCTGGTCTCTTGCTTTAGGCTTTCCTTTTTCCCTCTCCCATTACTCATGCAGCAAGATCCAGGGCCTGGTTTCGCCCTGCAGGGGGCAATACCGAACATGTGTTGGCCTCTGCAGCCCAACTACCTAGAAAGACGGAAGCCACCTCCCCAACCCCGTGCAAGAATGGCTTGGAAGCTGCGGTGAGATGGCTCCCCAGGCTCCAGCCCAGCAGGACCTCCAATCTAGTTAACGTTTCCTGAAAAACATTAACCCTCATTTAGGCGCAGTGGGAGGTGAGACGGGGAATGTTCTGTGAGTCCTGGTGGCAAAGAGCACCGTGTTCCTTACACAGAGAAAAGCTCTCCCTCTCTGTTAGCATCGGCACCACATGGAACTGTATGCTCCAGCTGATTTCCATGGAGAGGGAAAAAGCAGAAGGTGGCTCTCTCAGTGCTTTCTGACCTCGCAAGATGGGAAAGATACTCTGGCTGTGAGAACAATTAAGCAAACGTTTGGAGGATTCTGGGTGTGGAGGGCAGGTGTGTGTACATTTGAAAGCTGCTGTTTTAGAAGAAGTCCTATGTGACTCAATAAACATGAGAACCGAGGAGGGTAATCCCGTTAGCAGGGCTCTCCTCAGCTCAGACCGCTCCCCTGACAGAAACAACACATTCTGGGAAAAAGGGTAAATCACACACTGAGGTAATTGTTTCACACCTTCAAGGAATTTACTTATTAATTTCAAAGTGTTTTTGGAAGCAATTCTGTATCTTGCCTTCTGTTTTGTGCTTAAATACTTGTTTTTTTTTAATGTTGACCTCCAAGTCCCTCTTAATGTATTTATTATATATTATCTTTAAAATACATCAGGCTGAGTTACGAAATGTGAATTCTGCCAGTAAAAGAGGGCTGTTTTCCATTGAATGTAACTTTGTATACAACATCATGCATCTTTGCAACTCTAGGTATCATAGATTCTGAGATTAGGCACTCTTTACTAAATAGGGAAAGAAAAAAACAGACTACCTCCTCATATCAATGACATTTCTCTGTGTTGATTAGAGACACCAAAGAATTTCACTCCCGATTTTTGCTGAGCCAAACACTTTGGTCTTGAGGCCACCACCAGCAATGGAAATATAGTGTGAAAAATTAAGATAAGCTCTGGTGTTACATGTCATATACACCAAGATAGGGATGCCCATTAGCTGTCCTTTGACCTGCTGTATATTTTTATCATCTCAAATCATTTTCAGTCATCTCATTAGAGTGGCAGACCATTTAAAAAAATTCCTCATCTTGGATCCACCCATATATCTGATAATATGCAAATTTAAGTGCCTCAAGGAGATTAGAGGAACTATCTCTTATTTGATTCTATCATAAATTTAGTACCTACAACAGATCTTCAAAGAAGTAACTCACTTTTGTTTCTGTCTTTCAAAAACAATTTTGAAGAAAAGTTGCCCTTCTGATAACAAAAAAAGCACTACTGAAGAATCCACTGCAGAAGAAAGGGCGCTCCCTAGGTACTGCATATCAGGACTGTGTTTATATAGTTCAGCAGAAAAGGAACTGGAGCAGATACTGGCTTTTAGGAAGAATTCCACATAAAAGAGGGGGAATTGGTAATGCATTTACTACTCATTTGCTTGCATCAAGAACCACATTCCATTTTAATCTGCCAACATCCTAATTAAGATGATCTGAATCTTGGGTGATCTATTATTCTAGATCTGAGATAGCCCAATTTACATTAGACAAGATGTTACACTGTGTGCTTACACTGAGATGATAAGACCACTGAGCATGTCTTCCCTCCTGTCTGGCCCAGCGCTGGGCAGAGCATTCTGTCAGCACTCAATAAATAATGGCCAGGCCTTTGCCTATTGTCTTTCTCTCTACCACTTTAGGCACAATTTCATCTTACTATATCATTTCTGGTTCCTTTTCACACATAGAGCTGTGCTCCTTTCTGCATGAGGAAGATAGGAAAGTATCTCAAGTAATTCTCTATGAATGTGTCCATCCGTGTATATGGGACTAGCAACACCTAAATGCAATTGCCATTCATTACTTCTATGTCATTTCTGAAGACCTTAAAGAATATGTTGCCTACAAAAGCTTTTGAGCCAGAAAAGGAAAGAATACAAAGACAGTGCTTTGGAAGCATCAGGATCAAATTCCTTTCCAGGATAATAATATCCAGCTGCAATATTACCCAAGAGGCACTATAGAACACAGAGAAAATAGCATACAAAGGTACTCTCCAAATCAGCTTCTTTCTCCCCACTTGGGCTAAGGAAAGTTACCCATAATTAATTTTATTTAAGATTTTATTTATTTGAGGGGCACCTGGGTGGATCAGTGGGTTAAGCCTCTGCCTTCAGCTCAGGTCATGATCCCAGGGTCCTGGGATCGAGCCCTGCATGGGGCTCTCTGCTCAGCAGGGAGCCTGCCTCCCCCTCTCTCTCTGCCTGCCTCTCTGTCTACTTGTGATCTCTGTCAAATAATAAATTAAAAAAATCTTAAAAAAAAAGATTTTATTTATTTGAGAGAGAGAGAGAGCACAAGGAGGGGGGGACAGTGGAGGGAGCAGCAGAGGGAGAGGGAGAAGCAGGCTCCCCACTGAGCAGAGAGCCTGATGTGGGCTCATGACCCAAGCCCAAGGCAGATGCTTAACCAATTAAGCCACCCCCAGACACCCCCCAAAAGTTACCTATAATCTATTAACATAATACTAGGTTAATACTAAGTTGTCTGATATACACACAAAAAATGTGTTAATATTGGACTTGCCCTCCCTAGACATCTGAATAAAGTCCAGGTTGTCTGTGACATAACCAAGTCAGAGGCCACCTGTATGTCCCTTCTTAGCCACTATCTAAAACTGTCATTTGTAGGGCTGAGCAAACATATTTAAGAAATGTTCTTAAGCTTGCTCTAAGTGCTATTGTTGAACAGATAACACTGATGACCTTTATAGTCTTATATCCATTTCCAAAGGGATGACAATCTAAGATGTCAATCTAAGAACCTCAAAGAAGGCAGAAAAATAAGCACAAGTCTGGGGTTCAAAGCACCTCACCCTCTATCTCCTTTCACTAAGGAAATGAAGATGTTTGATGGAACCCAGGGTAGGTCACCCTTCTGGTAGCTGTAAAGTTTTCTGAATTTGCAATAAAATCTTCAAATATTCTTTGCACTGGAAACTTTTCTTCTTCTTCTATTTTTTTTAAGATTTATTTATTTATTTGACAGAGAGAGAGAACAAGCTTAGGGGTGGGGGTGGGGAGGGAGAGAATCTCAAACAGATTCCCTGCTGAGCATGGATGGAACAGACACAGGGCTCAGTCTGAGGAGGCTGAAAGCACAACCCCAGCCGAAATCAGGAGTCGGATTCTTAACCGACTGAGCCACCCAGGTGCCCCTTGAAACTCATCTGTTTCTTTAAAGAGGACAAAGGAACCACTGTCTGATTACAGTGATGCCAAGTTTGAGACGTTGTGTTAGGGACATCATGGCCTTGATTCTAAGACAGCTATAATGATGGCTGAAGAGGTGACAAGTAAAGAAACAGAGAATAAGAACATCTTAAAGGAGGCAATGTGCAAAGTTTAAGAATGCTTTCTTGCTTTCAGGATTTTGGGGTTTTGCCTGGAAAGGTAAAAAAAAACAGTACAGCCTTTCTTAGGTGTTGGGTGTTCAGTGTTTTGAAATCCCTCCAGCTACACACCATTCAAAAATTTAACATACTGAAAACCTAGTTTTAGCTGATAAACTTTAACCAATCTATCTTAAAATAAAATACATAATTACAAGCATATTTTCAATTCTTGGAAGTGAGTGCTAAAGCTCTATTTCTAGAACTGGTGAATTCTGTTCTCTATTTCCATGTATAAAAGATCGCACAGTCCTGGGAAAACACTTTTTTTTTTTTAAATGAAATACAACAAATAAGGTGCGCTGCTGAGTCCTGGGGGAGAAGTTTCCCAGAGTCTTTGAATTTCCTCCTATCCTCCTTCTTTACAAGATTTCTAAGACCAAGTCCTTTTCTGCAGTCTCTCAAACAAGGTAAAAAAGAAAAATACCCCCTAGATATATTCTTTAGATTTTTCTATTATGCCTCTCAAGTTCCCAGTAGCTTCTGAAGTAAACTTAAGATGAATTCTGGAGTTATTTTTTTATCATGTTTTAATTTCAGTTCTCTTTTAGGTCTAAGATGAAATAGATGATCATAACTGCTCTGCTTGGAGATGCATTTCATGGCACAATGTATACGTGACCTACGCAAGGTCACGTCATGGAAAGAGAACTGACATGAGAGATAACAAATAGAATCCAAGCTTTTAGTCTTGGACAACTTCAGGGTAACCTATTTAGGCTTGCTTTATTTCATGCAATACGGCAAGAAAAGTTTCTTTTTAAACAGTAAGTACGTCGTAGATATAAAGTGTGTATAGGGTTCTCTCAGTGGTTTGAACAATGTCAATTACAAATATATGAAGAATTACTGCCCAAATCACTGATCATTAAGGGTTATTTTATTTTATTATTTTACTTTTTGGTCACATTGTGAGCCTTGGTACAGTGGCAAGCCAGCCTACTTCTCATCCACAATAAGATCCCATGTTCCAGCCACACTACACGTTTCACACCTTGAGGTCTCTGCACATGTTTCATGCTGACAAAAATCCTTTCCACCCCTCATTTAAAACATCAACTCCCCTGTAAATCTTCCCTTTTCATTATCTTCATGCTGGCAAAAATCCTTCCCACCCCTCATTTAAAACATCAACTCCCCTGTAAATCTTTCTTTTGAGACCCCCAAACAGGGTTCATTATTTCCTTCCCTGTGAACTCAGAGTGCTGCATACCTATCTAATGTAGAGTATCTATCAGATTCTATTATAATTATTGGTTTACTGTCTCCACCACCAGAAATGAAAACTTGTCCATTTACCCTTATCTAGGATTTCCCACATGCCAGGCACTGTTGTGAGCACTGTAAATACATCAGCTCTTTAATCTGTACCGCAGCCCATTTGAGGGGGTTATTATCAGGGCCTCCATTTTACAAATGAGGAAGCTGAGACACAGAGAAGTAACGTTGTTCTCCCAAGGACACCCAGCTAGCGAGTGCCCCGAGTGGAACTCAGGCAGTCTGACATCAGCCAGAGTCTGGGCCTCCCCTGATACTCTCTGTGTTTGCCCCACAGAGGAAAGCAGGCAGGTCGTGGATATTAAACAGATAGAAAGAATAATCATACTGATTTCTCCATAGTTTCCTAGGCTTAAATTAGAAATATATTACCTTTGTCTTAAATGGATTTCACCTTCACCCTTGACTATGGAGGAGTTCATTTGTCCAGAGAAAATTCAGCCCAGACTGGGGAGAGAAAGCTAGTTGAGAGGTAGAAGGCCTAGGATTTTGCTGGCTCTGCCAGGTCAGAGTCAAACTCTCCGTACCTCCCACAGCTTCCACGGCTGCCAAAACCTATAGAAACCTCTCCAGGAGCTGTTTGTAGTGGTACAACTCTGCACACATGTGACACAGAATGCTTGACACAGAGATAGTATTCACAAAGAATACTTAGGTTAGTCTCTGTAAACTGATGGGACTCTGAGCAGGAAGACACTGGGACTTTGGGATGATTCAAACAGAGAGGTTTTTGTCATTGTTTCTTTAGAAGTGAGGCACCCAAATCATTAAGAACCGGATGTATTTATCCTTCCTCCTGAAGTAATTTAAATTTATATCTCAAGTCCCCACAGGTGATTGTCACCCATTTTACCATTTAAATCACTTCTTAATTCTTGTATTTTATATATATATTCTGTATTTTTCTAATTAAAATTTTTACTCATGGTAGAGATTTGGAAAATTTAGAGGTATCTAAAAATATCTAATTGCATATTAGAGGATTTTACCAATGTTTTAAAATTCTCTTCTAGAATACTATTTTAAATGGCTGTATAACCTTTCATTAGGATAAGATGAAGCATGATTTAATTAGCCTGTCCCTGTTTTAAACATTTGGTTGATATTAATTGTTTGCTGTTATAAGACTTTCTTTCATGCTCTGTGGGGATCCCGGTTGTTGAGAATCCTGTAGCCCCCGCAGGAAAAGGGCCTCTTAGAGCCTATACAACAGTGCTTCTCTGGGAGCTTGTGCAATGCAGATTCTGGGGCCCCAGCAAGGAGGTTCTGACCTCTCAAAGCTGGGCTAGAGCAGGTGCTCCTCTCTTTGAGAAATGCTAACACTGCCTCTCCTTGGAGAATACTTTCTCTTCATCCGGTTACTTCTTTACTCCCTTCTCAATATACAGCCCCCAAAATGAGCTGATTTCAAAGTATCAAACTCAAATTGGTTCTGGTGAAGACAGCTACTCATTTTTACCCCCAGTCTTTTATTAATTTAGGTGACTGGCCCATCTCTGCAGTTCCTCTTTGGCACCTCCTCAGCCTTTAACCTGACTCCACCCACCCATGGTCCACACCACAGCCAGGAACAGCTTTTTATGCAGCCAATCAATGATGTCATTTCCCTCCTCACTACAAAACCCTCCCTTTGTGACCATAGGCCACCCAGCTTCCTTCAGACCCTCCTCTTTCTCTCTCTGTCTCTCCAACTGCACTGGCCTACTCACGGAATGCCTCCTCAGAGAAGCCCTCCTTGACGTCCTGATCTAAATCACTTCTCCCAGCGCAAGCTCTGGTTGCTCCCTTTTCTTTCACAGCACATCACCATTTATAAAGCTCCATGAGGCAGGTCCTGAGACTTAATCGTTCATCACCAGCATATCTGGCCCTAAGCAGGGCCAGTGAGAGGCAGTCTTCTAGTCACTATCCACACAGGCTCTGGGGCCAAAGGGCTATATTCAAATGTGAGTTCTGCTACTTAGGACCTGTGTGACCTTTGGCAAGTTACTTAACTTCTCTGTGCCTCCTTTTTCTCCACTGAGGATAACATGGGACTACCAGAGAGGTTTGTTGTGAGAATTAAACGAAAGAATCCACAGAAGTGCTGAGAATCACAACTGGGATGTAGAATATATCCAATACAGGATAGCTTTTTAAAAGGAAGCAATGAGTATGCTTTGATAAATAAATAGAACACAACAGACTTTTGAGTTGCATCTTTTCTCATCATCACTGCCCTGCAACCCCAGCCAAAGCATTCTTAGCCCCACCAACGTCTCCCTGCAGCCTGCTCCTAGAGAGGGCTCTACTTCTGCCCTGAGAAATCTGCTGAATACATTCTCCCTTCCATATTATTAGTTCCAGCTTTGATCCTTTCATCACGTCACTTTCTAGAATGTGTGCTCATGTGCCAAGCCCCGGCTCTTCCTTCCTCCGAGTATTTCCTGAAATGTAACCTCCTCCGAGGAGCCTTCTTTAAGTGGAACTGAGCTCATCGTTCCATTCTCTGTTTCCAACAAATAAGTTAAAGGTTGTTGTTCGAGGTTCCAAAGCTATAAATCTTTCGAGCTTTTCCCTGGCTACGTGGTCTCACCATTGCAGGATGGGTGGGGTTTCTCCTGAAGAATGTGAGTCTAAGAAGGTAAAGGGTTCGTTTAACTTGCTCTGTATACATTTAGCACAATGCCAATCCACATGGATGCTGAATAAATGTGACTTGATGATGGTTTAATTACTTTGTCCATGCCAGGAATAGAAACCCTGAACTCTTAAATCTGTTTCCCCCCACGTTGCAATATGTTTCAACGCTGAGTCTATTATGAGACTGGTTTTCTGCATGTACTTTCACAAAAAGGATAAATACAAAAGAGAGATTACATGAAAATATCAAATTAATAAAATTATTTTACACATCCTGAGTCCAAAGATACCTTTGGAACAGCAGTGCATTGTATTAAAAGGTGCCTCGTTTAAAGTTTAATTGCATATGCTTTATGGGTTATTTTACAAATCTAAAAAAATAACCAAAACATGTCAATACTTGTTTTTAAAGTACTTGTTGTATTTGGTGCATGCACCATTATGGAGAACTTACACTCAGAGCAAAAAGATTTGTAGCAAAGCATATGACCTTCTTCCCACTACAATGACCATCCCCTAATTAGGCAATGCATCTGATAGTCATTAACAGGAATGAGATAATGAATCACTTTCTCTCTTCTTTGTTAATTTGCTGTAACCAAGCGGCTAATGGATGTCAGAGCTGAGTGATTGCACTGATTATAGTGATTTATAGTTGCAACAAAACAATTTAAAACCATTCTGATTATTCATGTTAAAGATGCTTTATGTTTTGTTTACTAAATGTTTTATGTCCCCCTTTCTCCTACCCCTAAAGTATCGTCCCCCTCCTACTCTGCCACTTTTGACAAAAACTCCTCTTCCTGGAAAACTTGAAAGTTGTAGGCTTTTTTTTTTTTTATTGTTTTAAACTAAGCCATTTCATTTTGTTTATCCTTTGTCTCTGTATATCTACATATCCAAGTAGATATAGAGACAGATAGATAGATGGATGGATATAGAAATAGATAGACAAAGTTTACCCAGTAGAAACAAAAAGCCTTCAGGGTGGAGAGAAAACTTCAGTGGTGCCTAGTTCAAAAGAAGGCAGAAATGAGAGGAAATCAGGCAAACTTCAAGCCACTTACCTTGGGGCTTCCAGTCCCTTCCTCGCCCTCCACAGACACATCAGTAGCCAGAATCTCAGCTTTGATGGTATCCAGAGCCCTGAGAATCCAGCTGTGTTGTCGTTTGATTTGCCTCTGCAGCTCTTTCCACTGGCTTGCAATCATCCGCAGCATGTCCTTCAGCCCTTCTCCAAAAGGAGGGGAAAACACAAGTTACAGGCTCAACTGCATTTTTTACCCAGGATTGTCTTTTAGCCAGGAAATTAGATGAATATTTCAAACAGTAAGCCTAATTTTAAACAACCATTATCACCTGCCATATAAGCATTTGTCCCCCAGGAGAGGGGCTGGGGGATTTTGCCTTCACAGAAGGCATAAGGACACAAAAACAGGATCACCACAGAGATGCTTGGGCGGGAATCGACTTAGCTTCTGTGCATTGACTTAAAAAAATGCATGTTGAACAAAAATGACCAAGTATAAAAATTACTGACACCAAAGCTTCACTTTCCAAAGAGAAGGCCCTGTGTGTATCCGTGTGGAGACTTCACAGTGATCAGAAAGATGCACAGAAATAGGCAAAGTGAACTCGATGAGGAATACGGTAAATGGGCCAGAATTAAGACAGCAGTCCTTTCCCTTAGCATGTCCGATTAATGCTGCTCTTTCCTTATTTAGCTGTAGTAAGCTCAAAGCAAGAGCCAGATTATAATTCACCCTGTCTTACGGTCTTTTACTACCAGGGTAAGTATTACCAAATGACAAAACTATTTTTTATTTATAATCTGTTCCTCATAAATA